TGCATGCTTATTCGCAGATCTTTGTTAATTAAAATCTCAGTAACTATTGCGAATCTAGCAAAATGGTATAGGACTTTTCACCTCAGTTTTATTCCTTCTACCTGCCTACGAGAGATGTTAAACCAATTCTGGGACACCCTGTATATATTAAACGTATATTTATTCAATTAACTGTAAATGAAGCGTCTACCTAATTTATATCGCTAATTAGTTCTTTTATTTTTTTTTTATTATATCACTTATATATATTACATAACTGTACACTTATATATTACAATTATATAAAATACTATTCTAACTATTCTAACCTTCTCTCTCCGATATTTCTACAATAGAATCTTCCGTTTCCGAAATAATCACGGGGCGTTCGTCTTCTCCATCGTCATCGGTGTCGTCGTCGTTCTCGTCGTCGGCGTCGTTGATGTCGTCGGCATCCTCGTCATCATCGTAGTCGTCGTCGTCGTCATCGTTCTCGTCGGCGACGCCGTTGTTGTTGTCGTTGTTGTCGGCAATGATCTCGTTTTCGATTTCCGCGACAAGAGGCGGACTGTTTTCCGCTCGTAGCGCTCGTCTTCCATTTGCGCTTTCAGCCGCCTTCTTCGAAGCTCCTCCACCGCCCATTGACGCTGTTCTTCTTCCGCTTCTTTCTGTTGGAAATGATCAGGTAATGTTCCTGGCGGATACCTAACTTCCAGCATTATCTGCATTTCATCATCTGAAAATTAATATATATATATAAGTTTCTATATAATTTCTTTATATATTTTTCATTACGTTTAACTATTTAGTTAGTTTACTTACCGGAATCAACGAGAGAAGGAGGAGGAGGAGGAGAAAATTCCGCTTCATCTCTACGGGCTCTTCCTAAAATGTGCAAATCACTAGTTAATATATTTTTATTCTAAAAGTTAGTAATTCTTGTTTTATCGCTTGTAAACTTACGCAACGGAGGTTTATTTGCTTCTTTTTCTTCTGCCCCCTCTCGTCGGCGACGTTGGGCCGTAGGAGCAAGGCGTTGCATTGGCAACATCCTGGCTACCGCCCGAGGTTCCACACGAGACGATACGCACGAAACTTGCTGCTGCTGACAAGAAGCAAAACAAGGTGGCGTCGCTGCAGCTTCTTCTTCGTTTGCCGTTACTTCGTTACGATTGTTCACTAAAGCAAATAAACGATAATTAAATAAGTTTTACAAGCGCGAAAATAATATTCTGACGAGAATAGAAACTGTTTTTACTCACCCCTGTTGTCGCGTATCATTCGTGCGATCGACCCTTGCACATCTTTCTCCTCGTGTTGGAGCGCCGCACGAAATTCCACTACTTCGCACGCGATGTGCAATAATCGTGGATCTTCATCGAAATATCCCAGCGCGTGCAATGTTGCGAGGTACGTATTGGATATTCGATGCGCGATTTGATAGAACAAATCTATGTTGTCTGCGTTTTCCCGTATACGCAGCAACACACC